GGGACAAAAAAAAAAAAAAAAAAAAAAGTGCCTGCACCTTTCCTAAAACCATTTTAGCTGGAGATTATACCTGAAGAATATTCATGAGGAACATGATAGAAATAAAAGGCAAGCCATCACTTTCTGAATCCTAAATCAAGTCTAAATTTCTCTTTCCAAGTAAATATTATTACTGATGCAACTGATAAAGGAACTGTGTTTTGGATGAACAGAAAATTACATGCCTAAAATGAACTTGCTTTGACAGGAAAAGTCACAGACTCCTAAGGAGAGATCCCATTTCCAAATCCACCCCCGTTGACATAACACAGTTCTACACAAAAAGAAAATGGAAGATTTCCTATTATTTCCTTATTATCTGCAAACTGAGGACACCAATCACAAGTACAATCTCTAAAATTAGAAATAAAATTAAAATTTTATTGTAATTTAATGTTATTACACATTCTTTTCTTCCTGTATTTATGCCATTTAAGGAATGATAAGGCATTTATGTGTCTAGTGAGGAAACTGAGTATTCCCTACGCTGCAGAATTTTATTTCTCAGTGCAGGGTGGAAATACTGTACCAATGCACACACACAAAAGACAAATACTTTAAAATGGACTAGGAGTCAAAATTGCTCCATTAATAATGTCTTCAAAGAAGGCCTGAACAGGAAGCAAGTCCTCTGTCTCTCAAAAATGGTGTAGGTACTTTTCTGACTCTGTTATTCTACAATATGCACTGTACAGGTAACGTTGGTGTTTTTAAATAGCAAGTTCTAGACCTAGACCTTCTTAGTAATATTTCAACTGAATAACTTTAAAAGCATTTATACCACCAAGTTACTGGACGGTTGTTCCAGGAACCATTTAATGACCAATATTTACATACAGATTACTGCGGCAGTTTACATTCCCTACTGACATGTGGCCTACTACAGAAGACAAATAGCTATGATTATTGAACGCACAAATTGGTTTAGCTGCTAATGGTGCTAGCCAGCTGGGTGGCATCAGTCCACAGGACCATCCCACCTGCAGTGCTGCTGTTCCTCTGTGGGTTTTTCGGTTGAATTTCCATGTTTCCTATACTGCAAGTTCTCGTCTTTCCGTATCTCAGAGACCAGATGCCACACAGGAGAAGGGTACTCAAATGGCAATGTGCTCAGAAAGAATAATCTTTCATAATTGCACTCTTCTTGAGTCAGAAAATGGAGATCACTGTAAAGCAGCTGTTTAAACTAGCAATCCACACCTCAAAGGTTAAAAGAAACCTCTCACAGAAGCAATAGAAACAGGCATAGCAATCAACTATTCCAGACTGTCACGGGCTGTGGTCAAGCTTTCATTGCTCACAGTACCAGTCTCTAGAGCTACAGCACGTAACTATGAGCTATTTTTCCCCACATTCCCTGCTAAGTGCTCTTGTCTCAGAGCCCCAATTCTTCTTTAACAAGATTCTCAACATTAATTTCCCCCACGGGCAGCCAGAAGCCGTTCACTCACTCAAATGACAGAGGTCTACTTTCAGCCCCAGGTGCACAAAGAATTATGTTGGCAGGATCTGTACTCAGTATTAATACTGCCATAAATCAATCTCAGAAACCTCTTGATGAAACGTCCCTTGATACAAAGACACTAACTCCAAAGAAATATCAAATATCAAATTATTTATTTGTCTACATGGATGCTAACTTACTTTGTCCCATCTTTTGCACCATCAAACCACCTGACAAGACCATACTATTATGTGGCTGGTACTTGTACAACAAGAGTTCTAAAAGAAAACAGATTTTGCAGAAAACCTAGATACTGAAATACGTGAACCTGGTTCTCAAACAGTTTTTCAGTATCCTTAGCTCTGTGTTTTAAATACCTATCACCAGGGAAAGTGAGGCAGCCCTATAACCAAACTAGACCAGTTCCAGAGAGAAAGTCTTGAAGACAACCAAATTCTGAATTTGGTGTTTTGTGGACCTTTGAATGAACTACCATGTTGAAAAAAGTTAGCATAATGAGCAATCTACTGCATGTTCTGCAGACAGTACAGATACCAAGCCGGTAAGTACTGTGCACTGTGCTTTTAGATGTTTCTGATAAAATGAGTGTTTAAAAAACCCACAAAAATAAAAAAACACCCAAGGGGAGTTCTGGGCAGTGAGCAGTCTACATACATACTCAGACAGTAGACAGGGTTTCTACCTTAACATCATTTGTAATGGGTATGTCCATAGGCAGCCTCTGTGCGAATTTAAGAGATTCGGTAGTGAAAGGAATAGTATGTATTACTTCCCCTTTTTGATGGGCCTGAACTCCTAAGAACCTCGATAAGAGGATTCTGACAGACAGAAATACAAAGGAAGATTGCAAATACTTGTCTCAAAACAGCTGCAGGTGAGCAGGTAGAGAAGGAAGACTGGTAACTGTTCCAACACTCACAATTCAGGTGATTCTAGAAAATACCTCTTTAATTGTCATTGGGGAAAAGCTCTTCAGAGTCCCTAACCTGAAGCTCCTGAGCCAGGTATTGCTCTGCCAAATGCAGCATCACTTTTGGAGGTCTCATCTGAGATGAGAACGAAGGTGCAAACAAACCTTGAAATGGTGGCCCTGAAAACATCAGCTTCTAAAATACTATGTACAGGAGCCACCATTTTTTGGTATGAGTTCTAATTGAGCAGCTCCTTACAGGAAGTGGAGGCTTTCTAGGTGCAAAGTTACAGTACTCCTTTAAAAAGACGCAAAAGCCTTCAAGGAGACTGGTGTCTCCCTTTGAAATTTCCATTGGAAATGTGAAAATACTGAGGAGCCCTGAAAAAGCTTTTGTTCCGCCCTGTGTTAGAAAAATAGCATCTTGCATCTTAGCCATATGCAGTTGTTTCTGATAAGTGAAAGATTTAGGAGAAGGCTAAACTGATTTCCTTGAATTAAGTCATTAAACACCTCAGGTAAGACCTTTGGGTGCACCTTTGCGTGCAGAATTCAGGCAGCAGATCCAGAGTCTCCATGCCAGCTGCAGTAACAGCCACAGCTGCACTTTGATCAACAGAGACAGACAAGCGTATGAAGCCTTGGCTTTCCTGTTGTAAGGAAAAAGAACAGACTGAAGTTTCATCAAAGGATCCAGCACTTTGCAGAAGAATGTTCTTTGGTTAACTGTTGACAAAAGTCTACCAGAAACAGTGTAAAAAACCAGACTAACTTCAGACAGAGAACTGAACACTAGAACTGCAGCTAAATGAAACCCAGAAAATCTACTCAAAAGTACAGACAGTGCTTTAGCCCACAAACCTTGTCAAAGGTCACCGAAGGACAGAAGACAGACACCTGGAATCCAAGAAATCTTTTGTGATTTTTTTTCAAAATGCTTCATCAGGAGGAGAAAGGTTCCCAGAAGCAGCTGCTGGAGCTGGAGGGGCATGACAGCCCAGGAGGTTGGCTTTTCACTTCTCAGTGGACAGAAATGCCACTTCACGCAAAGGACAGGTTACTGGCCTGCCCAGAATGCCACTGCCTCTCTCAAGTCCCGCTTACAGGGAGAGCAGCCAAATGGGAGAGAAACTTGGGAGGGAGGACAGTAATGGGATGAAACAGGACCTACATTTGTGGCCAGGTCATTTACCTCCAGAAAATGGATGTGACACTAAGTCATATATACTGGGAAATTAAGGACTCGAGGCAAGATGGCAGCGCACATCTCCATGGCAATCGTGTGGGACTACCCTTGACAGAACTTTCCTGAAGAGCCAACAGACATGGTAAGAAGGTATTCCTGAAGATACCACCATCTCTTTTATGGGTCTATGTTATGATGCAATTAACTTCAAGGAACTGAGTCTCCAGCTCATCCACCATTTGAGAGAAACTAATTTGCTGCATGAAAAGAGGGCCAACAGCATGCCCTTATGCATACTGCTAGAGCAAATATTCCTTTAAAAGTTTATATTGATACAGATAATGTGAATATAAAAACAAAATAATCACCCAAAGGAGAACACCAATTTGTAATCAAAGAGGAAATATGACTGCTGCTTTGAATAAGACGCTCAGCAGTCTGATCTCACCTACCTAAAACCAAACTACTGAACTACAGTACTGAGAATCAGCTGCGCTGAGTTTGGTGTCTGTGTTCTTAACTTTTTGAGTCTACAGACAGTCTTTTTAAGGTCAAAGTATCATTTAATGAACAGTACCAAAGCACATAAAAATTTAAAATGAGAATCTACATTTATATCCAACCACTCCTCTATGGTTACCTAGTAAAGGAGTAGGTTTGTCAAATCCTACTGCAGGTTCCTCCCTCCACTCACACAAACTGAACAGTTTCAGTTCAGTTTTCCTCCAAAAAGAGACAGTCAGGCCTCTAGATTGCTATAGTGCTTTGTTCTTTTCCATTTAAGCCTTATACCAATTTATTGTTTAATAATCAGAGGCACTGAGGAACAGTTAATAATTATGACTTTTGCCGACATCAGGGTATCATTGAGTTATTAGGATTGGGCAAATTATCAGAAACCAGCTCCTCTACCTTCCTCTCCCCAAACTTTCTTGAAGCTTTGCCTTTGCCCCCACAAAAGATTCATAAAGTAAATATCCCAATGATTGAGTAAAGATACAGTAGTAATAGATAAGATACTTCTATGTTTGTCACATCACCATCCACAGCAGTGTAACTGCATTACTGCAACACTACCGGGAACACTACGTACAACTCAGGTTGCCTCTGTTCCAGAAAATCTGAATTCAAGGTGAAACATATGAAGAGGTCAGTTACAATGGAGAGAGAATAAGAAGTCTGCCTCTTCCAAGGAAACAGTGGGAAAGCTGTTGGACAAACTAGATACCATAAGGGAAAATGGCTGCTCTCTAACCATATATATGACTATAAAACTGGGGATGAATACATGAAGACTGAAAATTAGTTTTATGTCAAAGAATGTAACCTTCAAGAACATCCTTCTAATAAGACAGTGAAGACATAACACCTAATTAGCTCCAAATTGTAACTCAATAAGCTTACAAATAGATTTAAAGATACTGTAGCTATTACCAATAAATGATGGGCTCATACGGTACTTCAGTCCTTTGTTGTGCTGCATGTTTGTTGCTGTTCTTTATATACTGTTTTAGATTACATCAGTGGCTCTTTAGTCCAAAAGTGCTCCTTTTTTCATATGAAGTAGTATCCAAACAGATCAAAACAGATCAGTGCTACATATCAATTACTTGTACCCAACAGCAGGAAGAAACAAACAAACAAACAAACCCCACAAACCCAAAACCCTAAAATAACTCTCCCTCAGAACCATTTTATGTGACAAGATGAGTAAAACTGGTCATCCAGAAAAGTCCACCTATTCAGTCTTGGAAAGATACAGTTATATCATTCTCATCCCTTTCTCCAAACACTAAATGGTAATATCCCCCTTGAAGAAACAGGACATTAAACTCAAATTTTTCTTATTATTGTGGTTCAACCCTGAACTTTCTGGATTTGGACATTTGACTTCAAAAAGACTTCTGTAAGCAGTACCCTTATGTAAACAAGAAATTCTAACTATTTTCAATATAGCATTCACTGGTTTTCAACTTGAATTATCAACAATTATGTCAAAAGTGAAGTAAGATTTCCAGTAAGTCAACATGGAATTTCACAATACATTTGCAGGTAGGCATCAGAGGTAAAGACCTCCCCCTCCTCCCAGTCTAGTTTCTTCAAATACAGGCAGCTCATGAAAAAGCAGGAAAACAGAAAAAAGTAAGCCAGAACATCACTAACCTCTACCTGAAACAGTATTGTCTTTTGCTCAGTTCACAGGACACTGAACATCTACACAGTGCATTGTTTGTTACTCTTCACAGCCTCCAGGAGAATGAGGCAGGTGTCCTCCTTGTACTCATCAGCAAGTGGTCACAAACATTAAGTCACTCTGACAAGGCCGCATCAGTCACAGAAACACATTAAGAGCCCCATTGTTGCTGTATTTTCAGTATACAAGCTATAGGATGTTATTCTGTTTAGCATATAATTTTCCTGATTAATCAACTTTCTTGTATCAGATTTTCACACTGTATAATTTTTAAAAGCTTGAAGCTGTTAAAATACTAAAAAAATGGGGTACGTTAAAGCCTTAAAGGGAACAATAATTAAGTCACAAAGATAAGCTGAACTTACAGTTTGTGATGTCAGGAGGGGCATAACTGTCATTCATGAACATGCTGGTGGGTTTTGCAACTTTCAGATAAACAAAGTCAGATGTGTTTTTTAAGGCAGTCACTGCTTCTTCATGAGTAACTTCTTCTAAGCAAACACTGTTCACCTAAAGATAAAGTAAAAGAATTCTCAACGCAAAAATGTATGTTTTCGTAAGACACTCACTGAAAGCTGTTGGAGCACTCTGGCATTGAGAGTTTTTATTAGGATTCATGTGCCGCAGACATAATGGGTTATATAAAAGTTATACAGAAGATGCTTTGTAGTGCTGTGAAATATAAGAAAGACAAGTCTTTCCTCAAAACATTATCATAAACTGTATTGACTGTAACACTGTAAAGGCACACATGACTTTGGAAAACTAACGGGGCAAATATGACACTCAAAATGCCATAAGCATGCAATCACAGCACTGACTCAGTATATTATTGCAAACATTGAATAAGAAGAAGTTTCTTCTAGTAAAAATAAATCCTACGTGATCTTGTCATGTCATAGTTAAGTTCTAGACATTCTAATGGGACAACTATTCTCACAAGAGGTCAAAAGTAGGGATCAAAACTGGAGAAGATCCTAAAGTGACTGACTTACATGCCAAGTAACAAGAACTAGTTTAACTTTACAGGAAACAAGTTGTTTGTTTTTTTTTTTTTTAAACTATTGCTATTAAGGTGAAACAATAGCACTTCAGTTAGAAAAAATTAAAACATGTTTAACAATTAGTATCTCATATAAAGCCTTAGTAAATTGAGTTCCTGACCCTCTCTTCCATGTTTTGAAGAGGGAAGTAACTTCTGCAGATAATTCCAGGCAACATGGAAAATAAGGCTTGTACTGCACTGAACTTGAGGGACCAAAGACACTTTCTCTGATTACTTAACTTTATATATTGTTAAAACATATAAACATATATACATATATATGTTTATATAAACAATTGGGCCTTGTCAATTCTGTTATTTGTGGGGGGAAAAACTCTACTGCTTAAATATATTCCTTCCATCTCTATTTTCTAAGTGTTCCCTAAAAGTTTTCTAAATGCCTCTTATTGCTTAAAAAAAAAAAAAAAAAAAAACAAACCCAAAACCAACCAAACAAAAACGACAAAAACCAAAAACCCCACAGATTTAAACTCCTACCACTCCTGATGACTGAAAAGTCATTTTGCAGTGCATTGGTAACTGCAGTACAACCTAAACACACGGACAGAAAGTTACATTCTGCAAAATACGGGAGCTTATCTCTACGTTAGTGACTAAAGCTTTGACCAAGTGAAATTCAGCTAATCAGAAGATATTATAGGTGACATTTTACTTGCTTCTTTCCTAACTTAATTAACTGAGGGAATGATTGCAGCTACAATAAATCAGGACATTATATTTACTATATCCAATATCATACTGCATATGCTCCTTGTACCCCCAAAACAGTATCTGATATTAATCCAAAGCTACTTTATTTAATTTTGTCAAGCAAATTTTTTTAATGGATAAAGTAATACTGGAGAAAGTAATCTGTCTCAGAAGTTTGACATTTCTAACAAAAATTCCTTAAAAGTTTCCATATATTTTATGATATAAGCAAGTTAGCATGAAGTTTTCCTGTATAGGTAACAAATTATAACTCTGGAAAGCAGTTCGCCATTAAAAGGAAGCTCTCCAGTGCCCTTACATTGTGGGGAAGTCCTATAACCAAAACACTTCCTATGATGCAGATTTTAAAACTTAAAAACATCAAATATTAATAGCAGTCATCAAGTAGCTGGATCTTTGCGTTTGTGAATGTGCATGGCATATAAATGTGTATATTTATTGTGCAGCTCATAGTAACCGTAATATATTCTCTCTTTTTTCCTCCAAATTCTCATGTGAGGATTTGCTCATGTCTTGAGCTGATTTCACAGAATTATCCATTGTAACACCAAGATCTCATTCCCAATACTTCAAAAAAAGCATGATTCTTTAGATAAAGGGATAATGCCAGGATTCTTTATCTTTGAGTAGCTTCAGTTTTCCCAGCTCTTCATTTGTAAGTGGCAAACTTATCCAAAAAGTCTTTTTACAGATGGGAAACTCTGCACTAAACATTTAGAGTCAGTTTCTTACTGTTTGAAGAGCAATAGAGCACATTCTGCTGTCAGGTACTCCGAGTACAGATGTAGTCAGTGTTCTTACAGAAGCAAGTACTGCCTGGTAGAGGTAGGAGGGTGGAGCAACTACACCTTACAAAAGCTGAGTTTACAATTCAGAAATTCATTCAGAAATTCCTGGCTCTGGCTCTTGTTTTTCTAGATGGACTAGATTTCCATATGGAATTTAAGAAAGTTAAAGGTTATTTTTACTTTGTGCATAGAAAATTCCACTTTGAAGTATTTTAAGTTTTTTTTTTTTTTAAAAAAAGCCATTCAAAAGCATTAAAAACACTGAAATCCAATGTAAGCAGCAGTTTCACTAGAGGCTAGCCAGCCACCAGTACTCGGAGTTCCTTTCCATTCTTTTTTTTTTTTGAGGAGAAACAATCCCATTGTATGCTGGTTTACATTCCCATCGCTCAGATCCCAGAACAGTAATAGCAGGCATCAGAAATAAACAGGCTGATTATAATAGAGGCTTTGCGTGAAACACTGTGCTGAGGAACAGATTTCAGATTTCCTGATGAGATGGTGCTGAACACTGCAGATTTAATTTTTATCATTGATTTCCTGGCGATATCAAATTTTTTTACTGATTTCTAAGAAATAACACTCCGCCAGCAGGAAGCTTAACCACAAAGTGAATCATGCCCTTACTGGGACTAAAAGTGAATGGGCATCAAAAAAAATGCAGCTCTTACTTACAGCTAAAAGTTTGTCTCCAATCTGAAGTTTGCCATCTTTATGTGCTGCTCCACCTTCAATGATTTTGGTTACATAGATGCTGTTGTCTCCAGGTATATGCTGATTTCCTACACCACCAGCAATACTGAAACCAAGACCTGCTTGAAGATAAAGTCATTACTCAAGAATTCATTAGATTCAAATTATTATATAAATAATAATGCTATTTGTATCATATATGCACATATATATACACACACACACAGACATACATACATATATATATTTATATATACATATATATATAAAAATACAAATATTATATATTTGTATATAATATATATAAATATTAGGCCCTGGTTGAAGCAATACTGGATGCCTTTCCAAGTGAACTCCATCATTTTCCAGAAAGTTCTGGAAAAGACATAACATGCAGAGAAGTTCCAAAAATCAAAAGGTACATCATTTACTTCACGCCTTATGAAAGATGCACACAGCACAGCTATAGCATCACTGCTGCTATTTAAAGAACCACTGTCCAACACTTCCCCATATAGAAACAAAATAATACTTTCTTTAAATGTTTTTTAATCTCTCAAAGATCCTTCTGGGTAATTCAATGAAATATTTTACTCCCATTTGTAATTACTAAATACCATCAGAAACACATTTTTATCATTTGAAAGAAAAAGATGCATTCTACAAGAACAGTTTCAAGACAGAGGGATGAAAATTCAGCATCATTTGCAATGCCATTATCTTATTTTTCATTATTCTGCATTTCCTAGAACTTCATATACAAGGTACTGTTTTATATAAAAAAAAAATATGCAGAAATCTTATCATCAACTCTATCCTTCTTGTGAAACAGAAGTTTTATACTTCCTACGTACCTTTAGGGCCTTTTACAAGTTTGATTTCCACTATTTTTTCTGTGACTGGTTTTCTTCTTTTGACATACAATCGTACAATTGATCCCGCTTCTTTCAATGCTTCAACTGCTTTGCTGTGTGTCACATCACGAACATCCACCTCATTTACTCGTAGAATACAATCGTTAACCCTAGAGACAGCAAAATTCATGTTCAGTTGTTGTGTTATAGCAGAGCAGACACATTAGGAGCCTAATATTTTATCTACAATACGCTAACATATATGTTAACGCGTCAAGATACATAGATTTTGCTTCAAAATTATATTGATTCAACACAATGCTCTAAAATTAATTATTAGTGCTTAAAAGTAAAACAAGGATCACTAGAAAACATTTAAAGGGAATATTTTGTTCACAGCCAAAGAGGACACCATCTTATATGCGTTTCATTTAAACAGTATTTTGAGCAGAGCTTCATACAAACTACCTTTTGTTTAGGACTATAAGAAAGAATTTAAAAATTCAGCAACTAGGAGGTACACAATGAGAACACACTGGTTTTAAGCCATGATATGAACAAGTCAACCTCCTTTTTTTTGCTTTTCACAAGCTGTTTAAGTGCTTGCCTTCCACTCCATTTAACATGTTGCTGTAGTAACACTGAGCTCTCATTACACTAAGTACAATGCCTGACCCACCTGTCACCATGTTCTGCCAGATGCACCTCTGACAACGGCCAACAAGCTAAAATGAAACCTTGAAATAAGCTTATTAGCACTAAAACCATAAGGCATCAGGCATTTGCACCAAAAATGATAGGGCAGGTTCTTGACAGCACAAGAGAAAAAAAGCTGGTCCTACAATCGGATGTCTTTTTTTTTTTTTTTTTTTTTCCCCTACAAAGTGATACAGGAGTATACTTAAAGACTCATATCTTTTAGCTCCCTCATAGAATCATAGAATGTCCCGAGTTGGAAGGGACCCACAAGGACCATCAAGTCAAACTCCTGTCCCCGCATAGGACAACCCCAAAATTCACACCATATGTCTGAGGACATTGTCCAAATGCTTCTTAAATATTGCCAGGCTTAGCGCCGTGATTAGAAAAATAATTCATTAATGCAATTTGTTATTACCTTCTAACAGTACTCTTCAAAGGAAGTTGCAAATATCACTTGCTACCATCTAATAATATGCCAACATTTCCTCACTAGGAGTTAAGCAGTAGTATCAATCCAAAATTAAATAAGAAAATGGGGTATACTGGAGAAGAAGTACTCTTAATTTAAACAAAAAAATATGGCTTTTGAAGATGTGTAGTATCTTTGAAAAATTAAGACACAGAATTATACCAAGCATAAGAAAGGGTTTTTATTAAGCTCAACTATCTTACAGATCAGAAAATCTGCACATGGATAACCAAGACTCACGTATCCTCCCTGTCTAAGCTTTTCCTTTGTGTATTGAATTAAGGACTATAGAACATATGGCATAATCAACTTATACCACCGAATAGACAAGATCAAGTTATCTTAATTTCACTTAACTACAGATTTTATTGGGGGGGGGCGCGGCGGAATTGGTCCACTCAAACATTTTTCATTATTTACAGAATACTTCTGTAAGAAAAACTTATTGAAAACGTAATGTAGCATGATAAAACTACTAAACGTAACAGAAAGTGTTCTATCCACTGTTTGAAAATATAATAAGAAACATTTAGCAACCCAACACAGAAAGTCATCATACCGTAATCTTCCATCCTGTGCAGCTGCACCCCCGGCTATAATTTTTGTAATGAAAATACTTGAATCATCCCCAATATGTGGGTTGTCTGTACCACCTGCGATGCTAAAGCCAAGTCCTGAATTTCCCTAAAGGTAGAGGGGAAAAAAAATTAACACATTTCTTTTTTGGGGAAAAGATATTTGCATGTATCTATTTGATTCAATATAAACCCAAATCTATATAATTTTCACTGATAAAAAAATAGTATACTGCTTAAAGTGTCTTTTATAATACATATAACCATATGTAAGATGTAATTATATTTATTTTCATAGAAGTAAGGACAACGGAAGTCATTGTGTCACTGTAAGAGATAACAGTTCCAACCCCACAGCTTTCTCATTGAAGTGAACTTGGTAAACTGGATAAAAACTTCCCTCTCTAGTGAGCTAGATCTTTGAGATTATTCATACAAATATTTCCTCCTCGTTAAATTATTAGTGACAAATTATTTCTCCCAGAATATTTCTCTCCCAAGGTATTTGTGTCACATACGCAATATATCCTCACTGATGCAGAGACTCAGATCCACATTCTCTCTTCAGATGTTGCCTGCCCTTACTATCAACTGCAAGACCTCTTCACCCTCTCAGTAACCACCCGAACTGCACGGGTATCAAATACAATCATTTCTTTCTCTCTTTTTGTTAACAGTGCAGCTCAAGAAAAGAGAACAGAGACAGATCTCTACATCGCAAACATAACGAAGCAATGCATATGACAAGGTGTAACTTGTAATCTCAACTGGAAGCCTGAATCTCAATATAAATCTTAATGGTATAAATAAAAGCCTATCATAAATGGCAATATAGGAAATGAAATAATAGTTTGTGTTATTACTCTCTACAAGCCTAAATAATAACATTAAATGCAGTATGTGTCCGGGAGATCCTTCCCCCATATTACTATTAATGGTCAAGGTTATTAATAAAAAACTTCTATTCCTGCTCTAGTAACTGTATGTATTTTTTTTCTTTAGGATAAATAATCTACCTAAAAAAAAAAAAAAACAATAAGGATTGTTTTAGATTGCCATTTAACAGTATCAAGAGGTTAATTTTTTCCATATTAAGAGTACCATAAATCCCATTTAAAATAGAGTACAGAAAGACATTTAGCATGTTACCCTTTCAAGAGTAATTTCTTCATACTCATAATCTGCATCCGTGCCATTGACCTATAAAGAAAGAAAAGTGAGACTTCCAGAGAACTTTATACTTTACACACTACAGTTTGCTCAGCTGGTGGTTCACTCCCATCAAATCTCAACTGATTCACACTGACCACTGAGCTCAGAGGGGACATGTGATTTTCACATTGCTCTGCATATGAATCAGACACTCTTTTTGTATGAGTTTAAAAGTTACGATTTTAGACAGCAGACTGTTCTACACAAATACTGTAGAGCAGAGGCCCTCTGCTTCTGACTGCCAGAAAAAAAATGCTCAAGATCCTCAGTTATTCCTCAGGCCATATAGCAGGTTGAAACTGTCCTTAGTAGCTTGTTCAGTGAAAAAGATAACTGTAGTTTGAACACATGATATTTCTCCATTAAAAAGGGAAGAGGTCTTGACCTTCTGAGTACATGAAACCCTATCTATTACTACCCCAACACCAAAGAAGCCCCTGTTATCAAGAAGTTTTTATGTTAGCTTAGTCCTTGAGCTATTATCTACAAGAATGACAACATGTGCTAACTGAACCAGTCATCTAGCATTACAGTACCTGGGAAATGGTTCATGATGACCGAGATCAGTATGTGGCCTTCCCCCCCCACCTTTTTTTTAAATAAACACCACCATCATTTCCCTATTCATTACCATTAGGCAAAACAAAGGCAATCCTAAAATATTTAAGCAGTCTCTTGTTTATTTCCATGTACAAAACTCTGTAATCCAATTTTAAAATATCCTTTAGATAAACAGGAGCAAACAAGAACCTCCAACTTTTGGTTTAGCTCAGTTGTATAGTTTCCCCCCTCCCCCTTTTTTTTTTTAAATTTACCTTTGAATTGATTTTATCTAACAATAAAAGGAAAAGTACAGGAGGAAAATTCAGACCTGAAACCTGTGCCAAATTTATATACATTCCAAAACCTCTGAAGTCTCTGTCTGCCAGTGGTATTCTTATCACAGAACACACGCTGCTGAACACAAATTTTAGCCTCCACATAACTACACTTATTACCTTAATGTTTCAAACAGAACCAACCCATTTTTATGAACATTTAGAGCACTAAAATCTTAAGTATAGCCACTGCATTAAGAAGTGTTTTTATGAGAAGTGCAAGGGAAATGGCACATTAAATATTAAAGCATCTGCCTGCACAGTTGCAGAAACAGATGTTCTCTGAACACTGAACCTCTGGAACCTCAAACAAGGGTGTTCGGCACTGTCACACACTGGTACTCACACAGAACCTTCCACCTGCAATCTACAACTTTTTTTTTTTTTCATGAAACAGCTGTTTAAGGACTTCAAATAACCATCAGGATAGCTGACAAAATCAAGCACCAGAGAGATAAATCAGTTTTATTAAACAGTAGAAACAGACCTAAACAACTATATACATAAAACATTATCAACAGTTACAACTGAAAGCAAGTGTAGGCTTACGTATGTTGGAGTCTCCAAAGAATCTGTATTCACCAGCACCGGAGGGGGATTTGCCTTTAACAAAAAAACAAAAAGTTATACAGCATAAAAGAAAGCAATACTAATGATAATTATACAACAATTAATTTGTGTTTGAGTCTCAAAGTTCTGTTAAAAGCTAGCCTCAGCTTGAGAATCTCAAAAATTCACCTTCTGAAACACTTGTTTCTATCCTGAACGAAGTGCTTTCTTTCCACGAAACCACTCTTCCAAAACTCTGAGCTCATATTTTATATACAAGTTCTGTCATTTCTTATCTTGTTTCTCAAAAGAAAAGCTGAGTCATGCTATCGTTTGACATTGTGTCAGTTACCCTAGTACTTGTGATACGACATTCAGAAGTTCCTTTACGAGCCAGCATCTTAAAACTAGATTTTGGTGGATTTGATTCCTCTTTCTTCCTACCATGAACACTTCCCCCCCCTCCCCCTTCAACCTGCAAAATGGAGACTTACAGAAATGCGAACTTTTAGAAGAAAGGATCTACAAAACTGAAAGCAAATCCAGAGCAGACGTTCATCTACCGCACAGCAGCATGTGGTTCCATCACAGAACTGTTATGGATTCACAAGCCATAAGCAGTCCGAGATTATTGCTATAGGAATATGAAATAGTATAGCGTTCTTGCTAGCCAGCAACTGGTAGAATAAGCTTTTACTCTCTGATATTACTGAGAATTTTTCTGTGAAAAATGTAGTTTCAACTGAAAGAAAATCCATACAGACTGGTGGCATTTATCTGAAATACTTCCAAATAAATAGATTTCCTGGTTTTGCATCAATTACCTGCCTATACAATAGGTAGCACCTAGCCTGCTCTAAGAACAAAACAAAAAAGTGTGCAGATAGATTCCAGGCTCCAAATACTGTTGATGTATTAAGTTCAACAGGACCTACAAACTCAGTGGCACAAAACAAAGTTAATCTCCTTAATGCTTTAATGAGGCTGAGATTTTTTAATGTGTATAAAAATTCATTATCTTTAAAATTAAGACATTCTTTAAATTTTTTTTTTTTTTTTTCTTTTAGATCTCTTATGTGTGCATGTAAGTGTGGAAATAAATTTAGGGACAGTTTAACAGGCTGCAATAGAAGCTAGTATTAAACTCATTCAAAGATAAACAAGATCTACAAAAACATGACAATTGTATTAACCTATTCATATTCTGCATTTTAGTTTCGTTACCATGACAACAACATACTTCTGAAGAATTCATGATTTTTAAAAGCCCCCAAAAGCTAGGAAGTAAGCGATGACTCAGAAGTTCCTTACAAAAGACTGAGATGAATTATCTACCATCACTAGACAGGAGTCGTCAATCTGCTATCAGGTTGCTGTGTCAGAAATTAGACCTGTATCATTTAATAAGTACTAAAATCATGTGGTATATACAAAAGTTAACAGAGTAGACTACTAAAAAAAGGAAACAAAAAGGATGACACTTTTACTCCGTCAAGATGCCATCAAACACCTTTCAGTAGAAGCATGGGCACACTTTATGCAGTATAGAAATCAAGTACTAGTTACTAGTATCATGATATAAATCTCTGTCAAAACAACGCTATCCTTCACAACCATTTTCTGTCATTAAGTTACATTCCAATTTCTGCTTCTTATTTAAGTGCAAGTTCTATTAAAATAAGATTAAATTAAAAATAGGATCGTGTGCTAAAAATACCAGTCAATTAAATTACACATCACCATGCCGGTAAGAGCTTTACAATTAACACGATTTTAAGAAAAACAAAGCAATACATTGTATTAAAAAGAACTTGACCGAATATGAGGCAGTAGGAGTCTAATCTCCTCTGGATGTACAAGAGAACAGCATACCTACATTTATTTTATATTTGTGTATCAACTATGAAAAGATTTTTAGTTTAGAAATAGAAAACAAAACAAGGATCAATTTTGAAAGTTCAGTCATGTTCTTTACATTTCACTGAATTTTAGAATTATTTTTATTTAATATTAGGATTCTGTAATATCCAAGTATATTCAACAAAAGCAGTGTTGGTGAAAGCTGGTTTCCCATGAATCTTTTTCTTGAGGCTGACAAGTGTTCTTCTTTTAATGTCTTAAAAAAAAAAATAGAAGAGGAAGACTAGCTAAAAGCGAATTGCTATTAGTAGGTGAGGTTTGTAGGTGAGGTTTCTAAGTGAACAGTACGTTTGAGACACAAACAAGCCAACAGATGCAAAACACCTTCAGTAAGTTAAGTGATTGTTCCTACCACTCCTTCTGCATTTATCCGAATTCTCCATCAAGAAGCAATAGTTTACCATCGTTTCCAAGCAGGAAGGAGAAAAGCTTTGTGCTAGGCATTCCAAAGGCACACCTGGACACTAGAGAGACACAGGACAACATCTAACTCAACACATCAAATGTTTTTGGAAGGAAGACCTGGTATTTCAGTCTGTTACGCAAGACTTCTCCAAATTACCTAACACTGTGAAGCTTCTGTGCCGGGGCTTGTTCCAATATTTAAAAGCCATTTGACAAGTTTGTTTACAAGCAGACTAAGGGCTTGCCTAAGGGCTAAAGTGACTAACAAAATAGAGAGATGTATCTATTGCACAAAAATGCATCTGCCAAATCCGAAGTTGATTATAACTTTCTGTGGTATTTTCTAATTGCTTAGAATCAGCTACGACGCAGAATTATATAGCTAACTCCTGCAGACATTTCTATGCACTCAGAAGAGAGAGGCACAGACCACTCAATTCTTACTGTTCTGCTTGTAATCCAGTATCATCAATGGACATTAACACTGTCACAGCAATGGCCATCAAAGAAAATATAAATACATATAGCACTAATTATTTTACTTTAAACTAAGTTTAGCCTACTGGCAATTCTCTGAAAGTAAATGCTACTGGAAAAATCTTTATCCACCAAGGCTGACAGCAGAAATCTGCTGGTCGCACTAGCTGTGTGTCTCAAACCCTGACGCGGGCAGAATCCCTCTATAAGAGGGAAATAGTTCTTAAACTAACCAAATCTGTAGTCTGCCTGTTGGGTAAAGTAGAGGTGGCAGATTCGTGTAAACATACATCCACTAGAAACTGCACTATAAAACAGCCAACTGTAAAAACTTTTGATAATTATTATGTAAAATTTAACAATGTAGCAGAGATAAAAAAAGATTACCACCTGTTGCAAGTTTAGTTGCATAGCTTGAAAGTAGACCTTAAGAAAAAAAAAATACTGACATGTATACTACAAAAATATCCCAGTAATACTCTGGATAGCTTAATTCCCTTTTAAAGTTAATAAATATCAGTCACCAGACAATTCTAAAAAGTGATCCAACTTTTCAGAAGGTGTGCACTCATAGTTTCAGATTTTTGTGCTGAAAGTTACAGTAAAGTGACAGAAAATAAAAGCAGAATGCCATTCAACACTGAAAAATATAACGGCTATCCTACATTATTCCATAGCTTGCCATGCTGTGGTCACATATTCCAAGTTATATGCAACATAGTAATGTTAACTCATGTTTACTGCTTTCACTTGTCTTGACAGGGGTTTTTTTTTGTGTGTGTTGACATTAATTGACCTAAAGGATGAAGGTCCAGAAGGGAAGCACATTCTATGAGTCAAATACATTAGGAATACAGGCGTAAAAAAAACCCCAAACCTTTTTGTATTCTAAATGCCTCCAAGCACACTAATACCAACAAATGGCTGGAGAACAGAAGAAATGTTATGCAAGTGCAATCAATGAAAGACATATGTTAAGTATTTGTATATGAGATGAGACAATTTTCTATTAATAAAGAAAAAAGCAATAACACTTTAGTAAGGGTGAAATGGCTCAAATTATTATGTGAGAACACAAAATATCCTATTGCTTCTTTCCATTCTTTTGGGTTTTTTTTTCTTTAGCTATTTCACAACTTAACTAATATACTTTCATATGAAAATATAGATATTTTAAATGGACTAAAAGCTGCTACAAAACAAACAAACTTCAGTGTGTTATTAATTCAGCTATTTCACAGTTCATCTCAAACCTGTGTGTACGAATACCAAAATGTGAATTTAAACAAAGCAATGAAATAAATTGAATAAATAAAAGTTGAACAAATTTAACAACAACAAAAAATAATAAAAACCTGTGGTACGGTGGATGGGATGACAGTGGTCTCAGCAGGGACTGGTGGGACAGGGATCACAGGGACAATGGGAGAAGAGGAAGGAACAGCTTCTGTGGGCTAAAAATTACCAACAAAATGTCAAAAATAACGAAAACTAGAAAAACATTTTCAAACGAACAAGATTCAAATGTAACAGCTTAAAAAAGATTCTTAAATAGCATATGGATTTGGAGACTATAACCACAACTGAAGACAACCAACCACCTTTAACCATGCTGTATATGGCAGTGCATCCCCAGCAACGCCCTAACGTCAGAGAACCCAAAGTAGTAAGACATATCCACATTGCTTATTCATACCAAGTTACTCACCTTGCAGTACAGAGTAGTAAGACTTTGGGATCCAACAGAAAACCTGTTTATGTCAATGGACAGACTCAGGCTTTTTGTGGGCTGGTTTCACAACAGAAGCCCTTCACCATTATACAACAGTATGCAAAAGCAGGGAAACAGTGGCTAAAGTTGATAGCACTGGACAAAGTAAATATTCCTTTTTGATAAGGGGAAAAATCAGAATTACATTAAGGTTTCTAAACCAGGCAAAAAGCAAAGAAAAAGTTTTAGTCAAATGGGTGGAAGACCCTGAAACAGATTCCATCTACCTCTCAAAGGTCTTCATACAGGTTTACCATACACCTTCAGACTAGTAGAATTTTGATCTGGGGGATTTTCATGAAAATATTAACCAGGAAAGCTACTGACACTTAAGCTGCAAGGGAACAAGATTACAAATAGCATTTTGAGCAAAACATTGACTCAAATCATTTTGAGATGTTAACATACTGGTTGTCAACAAGTTGTCAGCAACATAAACTACTGGCAACTATCACCAAAATTACAAGCTGAACAGCAGATCAAAGCTCTTGCAACTTATTCGTTCCAAGACATTCTTGTGATCTTTAAATATAATGAAGCATAATGACAAAAGATAATACAAAATCCTGAAAATGAACAAAAAACCCAGAACATAAAAGCATAAAATATATTTTTTAAGTTTGAAATATTTTAAAACACAAAGCAACATACACCAATAGCATACACCAAATTAAATGGTAAAAGCAATTAAAGAAACCTGAAACAGTCGAAGAGCAGCAACTCTTATTAAATGTACATATGGTATTTCTACAGGTTTTTTTTCAGCTCAAAGTCAATCTACACAAAATGAACAGCTGGTGAAAAACGTTGCAGTTATTGGAAGATGTAAGAACAAGATATATTTGGTATCCTGAAAGATTATTACTATTGTCATTTAAACATCCCTACATCTGTGGACAGCAGCACGATCTTTCAAGTGTTAAAAAAGGGGGGTGGGGCAGAATCTAAATTGGTCTAGAACAATGATAATATACATTTTGCAAAGGATGCAGGAGGTGCTCAGTGCAACAGACCTCCAGCTATGGAAGAACGATGCAACCTTTAGAGGACAGATCAAACTAAATAGCTTGAGCAATCACTCAGCCATACAGACACAAAAAATAAGCCACCCCTTCAAGTCTGCCTTGTTCCAAAGTAAGCAGCTTCCCACGTATGCACACAGTAAAAAATCCTGTTAACCAAAATTTCAGATATACACATATTACATATGAAAATACAACACAACATAAAGGCTGACAAGCTAACTGTTAGCAGGTCAGAAGAATTCCAGCTTTACGGTTACGACTCCTGCAATAAGAGAAGCTTAAAAACAAATCGAAGCTATTCGTAGATCCTGACCACATTCCCCTGCCCTTTGACTTAGCAAAAATAACTGGCACAGTCACAGCTGATTTCCTTACGGACCAAACAATCTGCACCCCTCTATCTGCACCAAAGTGCAGCTTTATGTTCCTGCTTCCTTCCTCTTCTCAGTTCTTAACTCCCTTCTCTCTCTGGGGTTCTCATTCCCAAATGCTTCAAGAACCCTCCCAACCAGTTCCAATTTTTATCCTGATTGTTTTAAAACTGACATTGTTCAAAGTCCTTTAATTCATTCAGGTTCCAGTCTCATAAGCTATTAGTACTGTCACTGTCTTTTCCCTTTGTGCTGATGGTTTAGTATCCACTGACTCTTAAAAGCCACTCCCTGCTCCTCCAAGCTCCTGGCAATGTTCCTATTGAGTCTCCTCCACTACCATGTGCGTGAGGGAGGAGGTGACAACACTGGCAACCACTTTCAAAGGATGTGCAAAACCAAATGAAGGTAAGACTGTCTTCACTTAAATGTTTCATGGAATACAGTGAACTGATGTAGGCACTATGGCTACCACACGGAAGCACAACACAAGAAATCAAAAGATTTCAAACCATCAGAGCAAGAAGACCTGTAACAGCGTTATAATAGAAGAATGCTAATTTTATGTAGTATGCCACATAATCAGTCTGAAAATTATTATATGATACAGGTATCTGAGAACAGCTGAACAGGCTCCAATAGCTCAGGGTATTGCTTTCAATACTCTGCTTCCCAGGAATTTTCAAGAAACATTTGTGATCTTTAGGAATTCTCCAAATTGATACGCTAAAGTATTCTGAAAAACAAAAGCTTATCCTCAAAATAACTTTAAATAAATACATCTCTGACTACAACATTTAATAATTCTGGTTTAGATAGACACAAACTTATTTAAACTACAAAGAAAGCAACGGGTCAATTAAAAACCTTGTTTTGAACATATATGAACTATAGCACACAAGTATGATAGACTAATATATACAGGAATGCATGACAAAATAACTCACTTTAACAGAGTCTGTCAGCCTAAATAAATGTGCTACCACCTACAATGAAATGCCATCCTGTTACAACAGTACAATAAATATCAAGTAATTCTTTTTTAAAGTGTAAGGATGGACTTTCTAATATTTATAAACAAAAATAGTTTAATTTTAAGCAGTATGTTTAAAAAAAGCTAAGATGATAATACCTTTAAGTGATCAAACAACCCGAGTGCCTCCAAACCTAACACTAAGTCCAGATGTTGGAAAAGGAAGAACACATCCATTTTCTTATGTTTAACCAACACACACCCAGTAACTCCTTCTGTGACAAAATACCGACTGACCTGGAATTATCAAAGCACCATACGCATCCCGTAGCAGATCAACTAAACCAGCAAATTCCATAATGCTGCTATTTGTCAAGTACTAAAAGACATATTTCAGAGAACAAAAACAAACCAGTCTTTCCTCACTTTCACGAAATTACTATAAAAACCCTACACTGTATACCTTACAACAATCTTAATGGGAAAACACTGAGCAAAAGTATTTCTTTGCCAGCCCAAGTTCAATTATTACTACTTTGGTTTCTAGTGATAAAATACAAAAGAAAATTAAGTAACATTAAGCCTCTAGAAATAGCAGGGATGAAACTACAGAAAGAAAGTGCGACATACTTTCTACGGTTTACACTAAAAATGCACATCTATAAATACCTAGTGCAATACATACCTTTTCTAAAGAACAATTAGAACATGAGCCATCAGACACCCAACCACTAGCAGCTTTTACTTTTGCTGTACTTTTTGTAGGACTCTTTTTTACACTGTCGCGTAGGTTTATAAATTTTCCTCTGTGTTTGGAAGACACTGGCAACATGGATGAACTGAAAGATGTATGAATGCTCAGCGCCCGCTGCTGATGCCGGAAAGGCTGCTTTGGCTGCATATGAAGATTTTGACGTATTTCCATTCTTGGGCTCCTTGTTAAATCAGTGAGCTTGAGTGTTCCCATTTCACTGTCATCTGTAGCACAACAGTATTTGTAGTCGTGACAGTGAGTAGTCATGAAACTAGCAACACAAATAGTCCTTTTTGCAAAAAATAGAGGGAAAGACAAACCAAAACATTGCTTCCTGAGAAAGTTCAAAATATGACTGTTTTCTAGATTATGGTCATAGGAAGAAACACTAAATGCTGTTTTAGCTAGTACTGCATGTTGTGTACTCTCTCACTCTATTTAAAGAGCACCATTGAACCACCACACGACAGTCAATTTGCTGGGCATAAATAATCAATGCAATGCACAAATTATTGAATAGATGGCAAAAGTCATCCGACATTTTTTGTTAAAAAGAAGCTATGTAAGGTTATAGTTATTTTCTTTCTTCCCTAAGCTACTACTATCCCTAAACTTTGTTGTATTTTACCACCTCAAAACTTCTCCAAGGTTTACATCTAGAAAATTTTAAAATATACCAATTCCTCTGCTTTTCTGAACACTTTATGGGGGCTGAAAACTAATGAATTTAAAGAAGCTTATGATGAAAAGTATTGAATTGCAAATAGACAGATACATTGTACAAGATTTCAACATTAAAATTCCAAAGAAAACAAATTTGTTCAGACCATAACAAGAATGACTTTGTTTTAATAATTTTAAGAGTTGCATTTCCATGAAATGCAGCAGCACTTTGAGACCACAATTTTAAGGTGCACATTGTTTAAATCAAAAGCTGAAAAAAAATGAAGATAATAAAGAACTCAAGTTCATTTAAATATTTTATTCATTCAGTTTTTAATGCCACAGATGCATGATCTCTATATTACATTTTTACCCCAATTTTCAAAACAAAAAAGCTTCAAAATAACGCCTGCCCCCCCCCTCAAGCACACAATAAGGAGCTAGCTTGATTTAATCATGCTGTTGAATATTTAACTTTACCAGTCAATCATTCTAAAAAGAGGTAATGATCAAAAAGTTAATTTCCCAGAGTCTACATGAAAACTGACAGCTAAATAGAGACACCTAGCCTCACAGAAGGAAGAAGCAGGCTCAAGTCAGCAGTCAAGCAGTCTTCTCGACAGTGGACACACAACCAGCATTTGCACAGCTCTGGACCAGCCACATCACACACCATCTGCCTCTTGCCCCATGGGTCTGTTCTAGGAATATGCTGTGAATCTGAATATCTGGCCCTGGGTATGATAAGAATGAAGGACAGCAGCCCATAGGAAACAAAGCTCGATTAGGTCAGCTGCACTGTATTGTGATAAAACGGAGAGATTTCATCAGTTCATAGCATTAAAACATGGTTATTCTCCCTCTCACTGTACACGTCGCTACAGCAAATCTAAATAT